CATATTTTCTATTTCTTCCTGACTCACTCTTGGAAAATTATGTCTCTAGGAATTATCCATTTCTGCTAGTTTGTCCAATTTATTGGCATATAATTTTTCATAGTTATCTCATAATTCTTTGTGTTTTTATGGTATCAGTTGTAACTTCTCTTTTATTTCGGATTTTGAGTCCTCTTTTTTTCTTGGTGAAAAAGGTTTAGAAGTTTTGTTTATTTTTTCAAAGAATTTCTCTTGGTTTCATTTCTTTTCCATTGTGTTTTTAGTCTCTGTTTCATTTGTTTCTGCTCTGATCTTTATTATTTTCTTTATTGTATTAACTTGGGGCCTTGTTCTTTTCTGGTTCCTTTATGTGTAAGGGAACATTTGTTTATTTGAGATTTTTCTTGTTTTGTTTTTTTTTTTTTTTGAAGTAGGGCTATATCTTTATAAACTTCACTCTTAGAACTGCTTTGATCTATCCCAAAGTTTTCAAACCATTGTGTTTCCATTTTCATTTGTCTCTAAGTATTTATTTCCTCTTTGATTCCTTCATCGACCCATTGGTTGTTTAATAACTTGTTCAGCTTCCGTATGTTTGTGGGATGGTGGGGTTTTTTTCCCCCTTCAGTTTTTCTCTTGTAATTGATTTCTAATTTCATACTGTTGGAAAAAATGTTTGATATATTTCAGTCTTTTAAAATTTGTTGAGACTTGTTTTGTGGCCTCACAATTGATCTCATCTGGAGAATGTTCCATGTACACTTGAAAAGAATGTGTATTCTGCTTTTTGGGGATGAAATGTTCAATATTTATGTGTTAAATCCATCTACCTAAGAATATGTTACTTAAGGCCACTGGTTCTTTATTGACTTGCCGTTTGGATGCTTTTTCCATTGATGTGAATGGGGTGTTAAAGTCCCATACTATTACTGTTTTACTGTCAATTTCTCCCTTTATGTCTGTTAATATTTGTTTTATGTTTTTAGGTACTCCTGTGTGTTGGGCACGTAGATATTTACAATTGGTATACCCTCTTGTTGATTGATCCCTCTATCATTATTTAATGCCCTTCTTTGTCTTTTGTTACAGTCTATGTTTTAAAGTCTATTTTGTCTGATATAAGTATTGTTACCCCAACTTTTTTTTCCAATTCCATTTGCATAGAATATATTTTTCTGTCCCTCCACTTTTAGTCTGTATGTGTCTTTAGGTCTGACGTGAGGCTCTTATAGGAGCATATAGAAGGGTCTAGTTTTTTCTTTTTATCCATTCAGTCACCTTTTGTCTTTTTATTGGAGTATTTAGTCTATTTACATTTATAGTAATTATTAACAGGTATGTACTTATTGCCATCACGCTCATTGTTTTTGGTTGTTTTTTAGTTCTTTTTCTCTTGCTCTCTTCCCCATGATTTGATGACTTTCTTTAGTGTTATGCTTGGGTTCATTTCTTTATATTTTTTGGTGGTTTGTGGTTACCATGAAGATCATATATAACATCCTATATATTTAGCAGTCTATTAAGTTGTTGTTGCTTAAGTTCAATATATACTAAATTCACTACCGTTTTACTTCTTCCTCTCACAGTTTATGTATATGATGTCATTTTATATTTTATATTTTGTGTATCCTTTGACTAATTTTTGTAGATGTAATTGATTTTACTACTTTTGGTTTTTTAACCTTCATACTAGTTTTGTGTGTGATTGATCTATTGCTTTTACTGTATGTTTGCTTTAGCAGTAAAATTGTTTCCATAATTTCCTTCTAGTTATGGCTATTTCTTTTCTGCTTAAAGATGTCCCTTTAACCTTTCTTGTAAAGTAGTTTAGTGAGGATGAGCTTCTTTAACTTGTTTTTCTCTGGGAAACTCTTTAGCTCTCCTTTAATTCTGAATGCTTATCTTGCCTGGTAGAGTATTCTTGGTTGTGAGTTTTTTCTTTTTAGCACTCTGAATGTATCATACTACTCCCTTTTGGCCTGAAAAATCAGCTGATAGCCTTGGTTTCCCCTTCATGTAACCATTTGCTTTTCTTCTGTTGCTGTTAAGATTCTCGCTTTGTCTTTAATGTTTGACATTTTATTTGTCTTGGTGTGGTCTCCCTGGGTTAATCTTGTTTGGAGCTCTCTATCTCTGTTATCTCTTCCTCTATCTCTGTTAGGAAAGTTTTCAGTCATTATTTCTTCAAATAAATTATTTGCCCCTTTCTCATCCTTCTGGAACCCGTATAATGTGTTATGTTAGTATGGTTGATGTTGTCCTAGAGGTTCCTTAGCGTGTGCTTTTTTTTTTTTTTTTTTTTTTTTTTTTTTTTTTTTTTTTTTTTTTTTTTTTTTTTTTTTTTTTTTTTTTTTTTTTTTAATTTTGCTTTTGTTCAGCTTGGGTACTTTGCACTAACATATCTTCCAGATTGTTCATCCATTCTTCTGCATCCTCTAATCTGCATCTTCCAATGTATTTTTCATTTCACTTACTGTATTCTTCAGCTGATTGGTTCTTTTTAATTTTTTATATCTATGTTGAAGTAAAATAGATATATAATTTGTTCATTTACTCTTTGTTCATGTCTAGTGAGCCTCTTTATGACCATTACTTTGAGCTCTTCATTGGGTAAACTACTTATCTCCATTTCATTTAGTTCTTTTTCTGAAGTTTTGTCTTGTTCCATTGTTTGGAACGTATCTCACTGTGCCCTCCTTTTTCTGGCTCTTGCTGTTTCTATGTATTGGGTAGATCAGCTGCTTTCCCCGATCTTGAAAGTAGTGGTCTTATATAGAAGGCATCCTATGAGACCCAATAGCACACTTACCTCTAGTCACTAGAACTAGGTGCTCCAAGGGTATCCCTTGTGTAGGTTGTGTGTGCACCCTCCTGTTGTGACTAAGCCATCACTTCTGCAGGGTGCACTGATGAGCAGGGCTGGCAGAAAGGCCTGGCTGTAGCTGCTGCAGGCTTGCTGATGGGTGAGGTTAACTCTTGGCACAGCAGGCTGAGAGGTCCAGCTACAACTTTTGTGAGTGTGGTTGTAGGCAGGGCACTGTCCCTGTAGGATTGCTCACTGGGTGTGGCATTGTAGGGGTTGCTTTGGAGGCACACATAGGGTTTGGCTATTTGATTAAAGTGGTTTCGCAGGGGAATGCCAGGGTAGCATGAGCACTGCTACTAAGGAAGATAGATAATGTCAAAACTGGCACCTGCAAGTGTCCAGTTAGCTAGGCTGAAGAAGTGCAAGGAAAATGGTGCTTCCCAGCATTTCTATTCTTGTATATCCCTCCCCCTTTCACACATGCCCTAAACTTAGTCAAATGAATGTCCTTCATATATAACCCAGGTGCTTTTCAAGGTGCTGTTTCTGTCCTGGGTCTTGGACTAAGTGATAAAATGCATTGATCCTTTAAAAGCAGAGTCTTGGGGCGCCTGGGTGGCGCAGTCAGTTAAGCGTCTGACTTCAGCCAGGTCACGATCTTGCGGTCTGTGAGTTTGAGCCCCGCGTCGGGCTGTGGGCTGATGGCTCAGAGCCTGGAGCCTGTTTCCGATTCTGTGTCTCCCTCTCTCTCTCTGCCCCTCCCCCGTTCATGCTCTGTCTCTCTCTGTCCCAAAAATAAATAAAACGTTGAAAAAAAAAATTT